CTCGGGTGGGGATGTGCCTACACTTACCGGTGCGCCTGTGGGATTGTTGGTTTCTAATGCGCCCTTGAAGTGAGTCGGAGGTATCGGGTAAGTCGTTGTCTGACTTATGCGGAATCTTAGTCTGGAAATCGTGTGCAATTCCCCCGTCTCGGCTTTGTCATGAATCCAAGTCTGCTTGATGGTGGCCAAGAGTTGAACATTGAGACAATCTCGTCAGGTGGTCATTAAGACCGAAGCACGGGAATGCGATCGACTGGTAGTATTTCAGCATATGTACTCGTTCAACTGTGATCACTCACGTTCGAAGTCCACGATGAAATCTGTACAACATTTTCGTTGACCGAGACTACTACCGGTCGTTAGCAATAAGTGGTAATACTATGAAGCGAGAAGAACAGCAAATACATGTGGCCGGGGAGGTAAAGTCTATAAATTCTACCGTGTTGGAAACTTGCAGGCGCTGTTATGATATTGCGTGATCTTTGATATGAATCTTACGACCTTTGTGAGTATTCACATAGGTATGCAAGTGAATGTTTCCGCCCCCGGTGGCGTATGACTGCTAGGTAATTGATCTGGGAGGCGCGTATTTCTCAAGGACCATGTTTGAACTTGGAGCGTACCTTGTACTGCCGTGGTCTACCATTGTCAAGAGCCAACGGTGTCCCGATAGGGTGCCCTGGATACATCTCGCCGGAACAGGTGCCGCTGCTCCAGGCCAATGTGGGGTCGGCCGGCCCTGGCAGAGCGTGGGGCAGGAGCCGGAACTCTGAGATGCATGCCCCCGCATCGGAATGATACTAATCACCGTCTTTTATTCACCTCAGCTAGCAATGAAATGGAACAGGTCATTTCAGCCACGAGTTCTCCGGAAAGTATCATTTTGTTCTCTTGAACTCGCTTAAAACTGGCTTTCTCTGCAACCGAGGTTCTCATAGCCGACTAGGCTCAAATCCCGCCCGACGGAGGCATGGCGACACAATCCTCACGCAAGCAAGGTCGTCTATTATTCATCATAAACCTACAGCATGAGACTCTGTGTAGGAATCCCCCAGATTACCACTTGCATGTACGGTTTCCAGGTCTAGCGCAAAAGCTTATAGGGGAACCCCATCCGATCTAGATTGCTCCCATATACTCCATACGGACAATTGATCTAAAAATGATCTGCCGAATATCAACCCCGCGCGTGCCCCCTCATCTAGCTCCGTCTGGCAGTTCGGTCGCCCGCGTGGTGACGTCTGCGGGGTCAAAGTCTGCTCGCAAAATGGAGCAGATAAGTCAACATTCTTCGGAATGGCACCCCGGCGATGGGGAAAAGTACCGTTGCATCAATGGATCTCTGGCAATATGTCCGGCTCGATGCGGTCCCGTTGCGGGGTTGATTCGGTTCTCATAACAATCAGGGTCCATTCGACGATCTTCAACTTCTTCTTCACTCCAGAGCAAATTTACAACTGTTGATCATACACACTTAGAGCTTAAGATGAGTCGTCCGTTCAACAAAGTACTGTACTTTGCCCGGCCCTCCCAGATGAACAGTCTCCTAACATGTTGAACAGGTCGTGATTATCGGGGCTGGCCCCTCCGGTCTCCTACTCGCCTTACTGCTGTCCAAGCACGGCATTCCCGTTCACATCCTCGAGGCCCAGGACCACCTCGACCAGCAACCGCGCGCCGCCCACTACGGTCCCGCCGCCATTCCCGATCTCAAGCGAGCAGGGATCTTGGAGGAAGTCCGCCGCCGCGGCATGACGCTGAACAAATTTGTATGGCGCCGGCTCGACGACCACGGCGTTATCACCGGGTTCGATGCGGGCGTGCTCCGCGACGTCGACGGCGAAGATCTGAGGACCACATGCCTCGTCCTACAAGAGCTTGACCAACTCATGCTCGACGAGTTTTTGAACAAGTACAACGGTACCATCAGCTGGGGGCACCGCGTCGTCGGTCTCGGACAGGATGAGGCCCGCGCCTGGGTCGACGTCGAGACACCCGGGTCCGATGGGAAGAAACAAAAGGAGAAGAAGCGGATCGAGGCTGATCACATCATCGGTTGCGACGGCGCCAACAGCGCCATCCGCAAGGGCCTCTTCGGAGACGAGTATCCCGGCTGGACGTGGGATCAGCAGATCGTCGCGACGAACACGTACTACGACTTTGCGGGGAAATTCGGCTTCGACGACGCAAACTTCATCATCCATCCGGACCATTTCTTCATGGCGGCCAAGATCACGAGTGACGGCCTGTACCGCGTGACCTACGGCGAGGAGCCGAACCTCTCGCACGAGGGGCTCCAAGCGCGCCAGCAGGAAAAGTTTAGGACGATGCTGCCGGGCCACCCGGGGCCCGACGAGTACAAAGTGGTCAACTTTGCGCCGTACAAGATGCATCAGCGGTGCGCTCCGCGGTTTCGTGTGGGCCGGTTCATGCTGGCGGCGGACGCGGCGCACTTGTGTAACCCCTGGGGCGGGCTGGGGATCACGGGCGGGTTCGTCGATGTCGGCGGGTTGTACGACTGTCTTGCGGGGATATGGGACGGGGTGGCGGACGAGGGGATACTCGATTTGTATAGCGAGAAGAGGCGGGAGAAGTGGAAGACGATTATCGACCCGATATCGCAGGAGAACTTTAGGAGGGTGTCGGATGCGGATCCGGGGACGAGGTTGGAGAGGGATGGGTTCATGCAGATGTGTGTGCGGGCTGAGAAGGATCCGGTGTTCATGAAGGAGTTGATGATGGGGAGCTTCGAGGTGAGGTACGATTTTACGCAGCATTACAAGAAGGTCAATGGGCAGTAGTGAGGAGTGTTTATAAGGAGCCATTCACCTCGGCAGAGGTTCCGTTGTATATATTGAGCGAAGGAGCAGTATGTAGGTATGCCAAACCAATCATCAAGCATGTCGCATTTTCGCAAGTTATACACCTTCATGGCCAAGCTCACAGGTCTTCGGCTGAGCAACATGTTACCACGACTTACACCAGGGGAACTAAGCCAAGGACTAGGTATCTTCCCGTCTCTTAGGCTACCAATTTCCTAACGTCGCGTGCAAGCTCCAGTAGTGAAGAATCAATACTAGGTATACTGTTTGGATTTTATGTAGCGGTACCGATGATGGGTTAACATGATCTGAAATGACTTCTCGTCATCATCTACCTTTTTGTTCAACTGATACAAGCAGTAACGCCCCAGTTGTCCCTCCACCTTGGTGCCCTTGAGATCATGTTACCAGTATCTCAACCTAGATAATTGCAATGTCGTTATTACTTAAAACAGTAACGATAATATTCATACCTCCGTCCAACCTTCTCGCAGGTAAGTGCTATGATATAAAATATAGCTACTGAGCGTTTTATCTTGACCTAGCACCGCAACATCGGCGAAGCTACGTTGTTTTCTGGCGTTGTGTATAAAGCAGATGAGCATCAAAAGATCAGTAGGGTAAGAACTGAATATCTTTTAGTCTCTCTGAAGATTTAGTATCTCTTCGGTGTGGCCTTAGGGAGTAAATCATTTAGAAGACGGCCGCCTACCAAAATTGGAAAGGTAGAAGCCGGTGAAGAATAGGGCGCTGGAATGACGAGGCTACTCGTATCATCCTTTCTACCCGTGATATAATAAGACAACGGTTAGCGACTGGACTGATGTTGTAACTTCGGGAAACTTATTCTTAAGGGTCAATGTATTATCCTCAAGTAGTATGGATACACGCTATCTCCTCCATTCAAATTTGAGGTGTGAGGGGGTAAAGGGAGACTAAGAACGGAGTTTTGAATATGCTTGCTTCCAAGGATTAAAGCCCGTAGATTATCCCTTCTGGGTAATTAGCATCACCGGATCGAAAACACTATGTGTTAAGCTTTGTGGGAGTCTGTGACGACCGGCAGGCCGGCCCCACCTACGGGACAACATTCGGAATGTATGGGGCCGATACTCCGTCTCCTGTCATTTACGCTACAAGACGCCGGCGTTCGGGATGACTCCGATACAATATTTGGCCTCACCTACCGCAACGCCTGCCATATCTTCAATGATTCTAGCTCACACTCACTCAATTCATTGCACAAGCCGATGAAGTGACCGAGAGAAGGAGTGTGTTGACCTTGCACAATTGCATAACTCGCTCGGAGGAGTGGGGTTGCCACGATGGACCGTCGGCCCACACCTATTCTCAGCGCTCCAATAAGAGACTCGCGCCCGGCGCTTAATCCTAATGGTTCACTGCAACCCAATTTGTCACTGCACACAGACTGTCATACCCCTGTCAACCTCTTCCTCTTCTTCATACAACTCATGCTGTCCATTGTTGTCAACTCACGGAGTATGTGATACGAAGAATTGGAAAGGCGGACTGGAATTGCCGCGAGAAGTGACATTCAGAGTCTGGTAACCAAAATAATGACTTTGAAAGCGGCTCAGCAGTGGCAAGGCATTCTAGGTCCTGGTCTAGCCCCCGCAGGGCCGCGGCCCCTCGATCATCTCTCGAGCGCTTAGCCATCACCTCTCATTCCTCAATACCCATGGCCGAAGGCCCACGTCGAGCACCGAGTTGGTGCACGATCCCTGGACGCCATCACGTCCTGTTGGCGCGATGTAGTATTCGAGGCCAGGAACGGCTCAGAATCATGCGCATCGGCTCGTTGCCGCGCTGAGGATTATGCTGTTGGTAGCAAGTTAACCTCTTAGTCTGTTTCGGCGACCCAAACTGTCGGGTTCAGTCTGTCGGTCAAGTTCCCTTAAGGTTCTGCGTCTCCCAGGAACAGGAGTTGTCTGGCTTGAGTTCCTTTCATCTCTCTCTTCCGCGTCTCCTCTTTCGTCTTGTTTCCTTTGTCACTCGAGCTGGTTTGGGCGGGTTTCTCTTTTCAATTTTTGTTACCAAGAGTCATTGAGTCTTTCATGATAGCTCTAGTCAACTGAGCCACACAATCATACAACGGAGCATAGCTGAGGTTCTTGCATTATTCTCCTTGGTAGTCTACGCCCATTGTCCACTGAGGCTATGAGTATCAAGGGGCCCGAGGTCCGAGAGACTCGGCTTCTCCAGGATGACGCCCCTCAGAAACAGAGCCGAAAGGCTTCTCTGCCTTTCGCCTTTCAAAGGTCGCGAGACAGTGAATGTAGTCTTGAAACAGGTCAGATAGAACATGGAGACCAACCGCAAGTCGAAGGATGCAAACTAACATATCCAACAGTTCACAAACATGGCTGGAAACCATTGACTCTCAGTGCTCCGGTTCTTTTCTCCTTCGCTTTCATATCTTTCCTCCTTGCGGTCATTATCGAGATACTCGCCCAACGAAGCCAGTCTCAAGGAGGCCTCGCCCTTTCGAAATCAGCTGACGATATACCGGCTTTTGCAAACTTCTGCTACCTTTTTCTACCCACGATCGTTGCCGTCATATACAGTTTACTCTGGAGCTGGATTGACCTTGATGTCAAGCGAATGCAACCATGGCTGGAGATGTCAAGACCAAAGGGCGCTACAGCAGAAAAGTCGATGTTTCTGGACTACCCGTACGACTTCATCGCTTTCGTTCCGATCAAAGCGGCCAAGAGAAGGTATGCTTGCCCTTGCAACACTTTCCAGGTTTGAGCTCACCCAACGCAGACATTGGGCAGTCTTTTACGGCGGAACAGTCATGGTACTCATTTTCTGGGTAATCACACCCCTCCAGAGTGCAATACTTGGAACGGGCCCGGTCGATGTAAGACGGCAAGTCAATATATCTGCTACCGAGGCTCTTCGGCCGGCTTCAGAGCACTTCGGATTGATGGATGTGACTATTCTCAATGAGGGCTATGCTCAGACATGGCTGAACCAGCGATTTCCACCTTACACGACGCCGGAATACACGCTGCTCCCTTTTGACACCAAGAGTCAAGCTATCCAAGGATCCTCGACCAATTGGACAGGACCTACCACCAAATTCTGGACTCAATTGGCTTGCTGGCCCGCGGAGGTACACATGAATGGGGCCCCACGAAAGCATAACCACGACTTCCTCAATGGCCGTGGCTGTAATGCCAGTGAGATCAACAGCTATGGGAATTTTGAAAACGACTTGCCTTACCAGATGTTGTACATAGGGTATCCCTACAGTTCGTGGGTGGACTACTACCTGGGTGCCACTTGCTCGAAGCAATCAGCAGGCAATCAGTTTCTGGCCACGTGGGGTCACTCGGACTATCAGAAGAACGAGATCAACCTCACATCTATATTCTGCGAGACCAGCTACTACAAGCAGCCTGTCAATGCCTCCGTCAGAGCTGCTGACCTCGTCCCTTTGGAGAACTCGGTTGTTCCGCTGGGTCCTCGGGAAAGACTTTTGGAAACAGAGTTTAACATGACAGCTTTCGAGCATCTACTAGGAGCCGGTGTATTAACAACGCAACCCGACGGTGCGAACGGCGGTACCAAAGAGTTTCCGTTTGGACGTCTACTGGAACAGCATCAGCAAGTCGCCAAATTGGGTATCAAATGGCCGATGGCACCGATGGCCGGCTTCGCGATTGGCTCACAAAAGAACGTCAAGACACTCGATATTTACCGAGACGAGACCAGCTTGGGCAATGCTTACAACTCGACACACAAGATGCTCTTTTCCCTCGCACTCCGTCGGGTCCTCGAAAATTCCACGAATACGAACACGACCACTGGCAACATCGATGTCGAGCTACACGGTATCATTGTCAGCCGAGTCTTCTCCGCTATCGTCGAAGGAATGCTAGTTATTGTTGGGATTTTCACGACACTCCTATGGTTGCACGGCTATAGGGCGCCTAGCCGCTTGACGATGGACCCCGCCTCCTTAGGATCACTGATTAGTCTTTGCCAAAACAGCACTACGCTTCTCGACAAGCTTGCTGGAAAGGGAGCTCTACCCGAGGATGCCCTCAAGCAATCTTTCCAAGACTTACGTTTCAAGTTGTTCTGCGGGTGCCAGAGTCGCTCAGGGCAAATGGTCATCAAAGTAGTCGATACCCGAGATCAGACAATTGAGGAGCGACGCATCAGCCTGACCCAGCCAGACACCACCTTTTCCGTCGGCCACTACTCTCCAGTCAAGCCCTTGGCCCTACGCCGAGGTGTTGGTGCTATGGTAACCTTATCGATGATGGCGGCTGTCGGCGGATTGGTCTACTTCAAATTGCTCGAACGGCGCAACAAAGGTTCGAAGTATCATTTCTACGGCAAAGTCGAAAGCTCACTAAATTGACAGGAATCGTTCGTCCAAATGCAAGCTTCGAAGTGCTGCAGATACTCGAGAACTACGTGCCCACTATCTTTGCAACTTTGCTGGAGCCCTTTTGGGTGCTCGTCAACAGGCTTCTATGCATCCTGCAACCATTTAAGGACTTATGGACCGGCAAACGGTCGGCCAAGGGCTCCATCAATGCCAGATACACCTCTCTGCCCCCGCAGCTCGTTTTTTGGAGGGCAGCCAAGTCGGGCCACTTCATTCTCACGGCCATGTGCGCGTTAGCCTTGCTGTCTAATCTTCTAGCTGTTGGTCTCGGTGGTCTCTTCAACGAAAAGCCAATAGACATTGAGCGCCCTTACAACTTTCAACAATCATTCATGCCTCGACTGAGTAACGCATCCGTTTACGGCTCAGAAGCCCGCGGAACTTTCCATAACTCGGCTCCGTACGAGGTTCCATTTTACATTTTCATGAATAACGTGTCTCAGAACACACCACTTACACCGTGGGTCAATCACGACTACTTTTTTCAGCCCTTCGACATTGTTCCCCAAGACGAGGACAAGACGAGCGGCACAACGTTTACGGCGCGGACCAGGGGCTTCAGTACTAATCCATCCTGCTCTGACTTTGGTACTTACAACACAATAAGGAAAGCGCCTCAGGTGAATTACACAATGACCAGGAACGGCGAAGCTGTGAAGGGTTGCAGCACAAGCTTTATCACGAAAGATATAAAACTCGACAGCGATTACGACATCTTTCCCGGGCCGGCTTCGAAGGAGATTGTGCAAAAATTGGACACCTCATACGACTTGACACCCTGCGAGACCACTTTGCTCATGGGCTGGTCGCGGATTTCTCATGCTTCGAACATCACCAAATCAACAAACTCAACGACAACCACGAAACGATCGCGAAGTACCGAGTTGGGGGATGGAGAAATCGCGAGCACATTTGTCATTTGTCAGCCACTCTTCGCCACGGCCATGTTCGATGTCACGGTGGATTGGCAGGGCTACATAATCAACGCGACCCGGGCATCCGATGTTTCGGCAACGCTCGACTACCCACTCTCGACGAACCACACGGATGCGATATCCGCACACGTCAACGAGCTCATTGTCTCAACTCAAAAGAGCTGGCACAACGACAGCTTCTCCCGCGACTGGATGAATTACCTACTCAAGATCCAACCGGGCCACGCGAACCTTCTCGACCCGAACATCCCACCAAACGCTACCGCGCTGATCCCCGCCCTCGAAGCCGTCTACCGTCAGATCTTTGTCCTTCTCCTCGGCAACAACCAGAACTTTCTCGACACCTACCCCGAACCCGTGACCATATCCGGCATCCGGCACACCACAGAGACGCGCATCTTTCTGGACACCACCGCCCTCGTCATCAGCCTCGTCGTCCTGGCCATCAACATCGTCGTGGCCGTCGCGGTGTACGGCCTGGCCATCAAGCACTTCCTCCCGCGCATGCCCACGACCATCGGGTCCATCCTCGCCTACCTCGCGCCCAGCAGAGCGGTGCGCGAGTACGACGGCGCCGGAGGCAGCCTCGAGAGCAAAGCCACGTTCAGCTTCGGTCGGTATGTCGGCGAAGATGGGCGCGCGCACGTTGGCATCGAGCTTGACCCCTTTGTAGTGCCCGTGAAACTCTCCGCGTTGAGAAAGGGCGATACGGAACCGAGAACAGGGCTGCTGGGGAGGCTGCTGGGGAGACGGAAAGCGGGACGGCGAGGTGATACGTGGTTGTGAGCATGAGACAGGCCAAAAGACCGGATGGAAAGCAATGATGGGATGAAAAGATTCACAATTATGAACTTGATACAGACACGCCCAAAATGGCTTGTTTTATTTCCACATCCAGAGGGATAAGGTCCCAAAAAACGATGAATACCCATACCGCTATCGTTTCCGCGAGTGCAAGTTGAGTTCCCGTCAATGCCCATGACTGCAAAACCCGCGCTTTTTGGACCCTAGCAGCGACTCAAGAATGTTTCGATTCTGCATTTGTTTCTCCCATAGTATCGTAAGGCGTTTTTTGCACATGCAACGCTGATCACGTCCATGCGTGTCCTCTTCATCTGATATAGCATGTGTCAGCCTGTTCAGCTCGACAAGGAACAGCTCTCATTCGACTACGCACCCTTCCAAGACCTGCACTTGTCAATTATGCAAGAGGCTTACTCTCGAGGTGTGAGAAAAAAGACAAAGGACAGAGGAAAACAAAGTTTGAGTTATGTCAAGGTCCCTGTCCGCCCGGGGAACCCCACGAGATCTTTGACTCGTTTCCCAGGATCTCCCCGCCCGCGTGTCAGAGACGCCACTTCGGATTGTTAAGCTCTGGTCCGCAAGTGGCCGTCGGACGCTTTGACGGGAGATAGAGCTGAAAGCTTGGGGTTTGGGGTGTGTGGATTGGTGAGTGAGAGGATCAGGCATGGGACTTGTTAAGATTCACATGGCGAAATTCACAGTGGAAATGTTTTATGATGAGCATGTGTTATGCTATTGATCTTCTCGTGCTACTTTTCTCATGCCTGTCGATCCAAACAATGTGCGCCCAAATAGGGATACCAATATGAAATGTATATGTACAGAATTTTGTCGTAAATGTTCAAGAAAGAAAATGAAACGCCCCAAAGCTTTGTGCAGTGCACTGTATGTTGTCATGACTTTGTCCAATGTATCCCCGAGGTATCATATCCCGTAAATGCTAAACCGTTCATGAAAGAGTGTTCGCCATCGACCAGCTTAGGCGGAACGGAAGCGAAGGGAACGCTGGCGAAGGGCGCGCTTGCGGCCGTTTCGGGTCACAACCATGCTCAGCTCGGAGCTGATGCCAGCAGTGCAAGAAGTACCGCCGGCAAGGGCCTGGACGGAAGACCAAGTGCCGCTGGCGCAACGCTGGAAGGAGCTGCCTCCGACACAGTTCCAGGCGCCCTCATCGGTGCAGGCAGCGCCAACAGTCTGGGCACCAGCGGTAGTGCCGTTGCCACTGCCGCTGCCAGTACCAGACGAGGGGGCGGCGGAGGGAGCGGCAGAAGGGGCGGCACTGGGAGTGACTGCAGGTGCCTTGGTAGCAGAAGCGGAAGCGGTGGGAGTGGCGGAGGCTCCACCGTTGGCGGGGACAGTGATGAAGACACCGCCGGGGAGGGAGGCGTTGCCGGTAGGCTTGGAAGCAGACGGCTTAGACGAAGCCACGGCAGAGGTGGGAGCAGCGGTGGGCGCGGCGCCTCCGTTGCCAGCAGTAGTGCTAGGCTTGGGAGTACCGGAAGAACCACCGCCGGAGCCACCACCAGAAGAGGTGCCGCAGGAAGTGCCGTTAGGGGGGCCCAAGTTAGTGCCGAAGACGTCGACAGAGTCGCCGGCATTGGGGAAGGTAACGTCGATGTTCTCGGACACAGTGCAGTCGTTGATGCCCTTCAAGTTGGCAACCATCATGTCGGGCAGAGCGTTGTAGGCCTCCTGAGAGCCACCGGAGCCAGTGATGGTGACGGGTCCGCAGTTCATGTACATCTCACGGTTTCCAACCTTGTTGAACCAGGTCCAAGCGATAGTACCGTTGCCAGCGGGCATGTCCTTGGGAATTGTGAAGTCGTAGGTGTCCTTGCCCTGCTGGTTGGCGTTGTCACCGAGGTTGCCGGCAGTGTTCTTGGCGGGGCAGCCTCCCTCAATAGACTTGATAACCTTCCAGACACTGTTCTTGTCGGGCTTAGCATCCCAAGTGATGGAGACCTGGCAAGAGCCACCACCGTGGACAGCAGAGCCAATGAAAGCCAACTCGCCGGTGGCACCCTGGGCGTAGACGTTGGATGCTCCCGCGGCATTGTAGCTGCTAGACTTGCAGGGGAAGTTGCTGCCGTCCTCAGTAAGAGGGCTGTTGTCGAGGTTGGCGTTGTCGTAGGGAACGGGCTTGCTCATCTTCATATGGGCACTGGCGAGGGTGGCCAGGCCGAAGGCGACGATTGCGTTGGCGTACATGTTGAGTGAGTTTTTTGAGTTGTGAAGTTAAGAATCTAAAACGTTCCAGACGTAAGAATCTAGGTATCGTGTGGTTGTCGTTGTGACTGTGAGTTGAGTTGGAAAGAAGTTGTGGTTTCCGAAGAATGAGTACCTTTATAAAGCATGTTAGTTCTCGATCTTGACCTAGCCATCACACAAGATCCAGCATCTTCGACAGCGCATCCGTTCCTCAACAGGCCCGACTCGAAGCAACCAGCCACAGCCACGACCGTGAAAGTCCCGGTGTGACGGGACTGGGTGCCTTCGAAGAATGGCATTGTTTGTGATACAGCGCGGGCCGCGATGTAGGACAAAGGCATCGAATCGGACCCAGGACGGCCAAGGCTGCGTGCCGTTCCTTTGAAGAGGGTCCTCGTAGCATTCCAGGTTACTTACAATGCCGTCTCGCTTTGTCTTGCTAGGGAGCTTTGACGTTGCGGGATGTTTCAACAAAAAAGTGTTGGAGTGAAAGTTGAGAATCGGATAGCTGTCGATGGGTCTCGAAGTTTCGATAATTCGTTTGTGTGATTTCGTTTGATTCCGGAAAGGATGGTATTTGCACCAGGCGAGTTGGATATGTTGATGGAAGTTGTGAAGAAGAATAAGGACTAGCCTTTGTTGAATGAGAAGTGAGAGAAGGTAAGATGTCGAAACGACAAGTTCTTTCCAAGCCCAAAGAATGCGAGAAGACGTGATGGTCCGAGAGGATGAGGAGTAGTAGAATGGGATTGTGAGGTCGGACAAGGCCAGGTCTTATAAGACCGGAAACAGACCAAAAGGGATGATGGGCAAAAACGAAGTGAGTACCTTAGTGACTGTGACTGACAGGGCCCCACGGACAGAATATGCCGGGCTTAGTGTGCAGAGAGTGACTTAGTGACTAAACGAATGGATACGGGAAAGGAGAGGCAAAAAAGCAATAAGCACGAGCTGCAGCAGAGAACGGCGGTAATCCCAGAAGGACTGGAGAAGGATGGACTGGAGGTCGGACCGGGAGGATGAGTAGCTGAACAAGATCGGTCCACTTGGGACGAGAGAGACATGGCGTTCTTTTTAGACAGGCGTTGAGCAAAATGGGCCAGTCAAGACCAGACATGGGCATCAGATCAAGGGGATTCGAAGCATGGTGGATCGACCGAGGGGTACAGGGGCAGGCCGTTGAAGAAGGAGAGGCATGGCCTTGAGGCTATGATAGGCCGGAGACATGCCCCTCGGCTTGTTTCGACATGGCTCAAAAAGACCGGACTAAACATTCTCGTGAGTGGGCAGGGGTGTGGAGGGTAGAGAGAAAAAGGACATGGAGATGAGTACGGAGTATAGGTGATCAGTCAGGGTGTGGGTGGCCATCTGGAGCTCGAGCTGCGGCTGTCGTCTGCCTGTCGACTTTGACCCATGGTCTCGCGGCAGAGGCTAAGACGGTAAGACCATGCCATGTTCCTGGGAAAAACAGATGGTGGTGGACTTTGGTAGGTAGATGTGGGTGGGACATGGAGGGACGGGGACCTTGCAGCAAGGCGCGCCATGGCGCGTTGCGGGTTGGGCTGCGCTCTTTTCCAGCGACGGATGCCCCTGACTAAACTTGTCTAAGGAGGAGCCAAGGACAGCCAAAGGCGGGGGAGGAGGGAGGGTTGTCCTGTGGTGCATCTGTGGACCAGCATCGAAGTGGTATAGACTATAGGGGAGGGATTGGTGAGGAGTTTTTCGAGCTGTCGTTGATAGCGAAGATTGAATGGCTGGGACGAGGTGGGAAGAGAGACAAGTGACACCGAGGATGGTGCGCTAGTGGGAGGGGAGGTCCGGGACTGGCGACAGGGAGCAGGGAGCGATGATGCAGGGAGCATGGGTGCATGTTGTGGATTCTAGACTCCAGGGACCCACCGGACAACGCAGTACGTACCCTTACCACTCCCGTCCAGGAACGACGTCCCATTGGATGCTCGGTACACGCTAACGGAGCACGAGTGCACGGTTCCTTGCCTCTCTCGATACGTACTCTTTTGGCACCAGCTCCTTTTTTCGCATAGTAGAAACGTCCCGTCTAGGTATACGTATCTGTCCATGCTACCTACTAAGGTAGGAACAGATGTACGTAGTCACGTAGTTCACTTGGAAGGGGCGAGGATGGTAGGCACGGGAATATGGAGGATCGCATAGGTGCAACCACATGTTTCCATCTAGTGCGTAGATGGCAACCCTCAACTTGCTCTAGAAGAGCGGTAGGAACATTGAAGCGCTCGAGCTGCAGCTTTCAAGACAGGAGAAGCACCAAAATCGGCGGGGACTACTGCAAGGCACCATCTAGGAGATAATCACAGCATGCAGTAGTTCTTCTAGTTATGAGAGTCAGACTGCCACGCCCAATTCTCTAGTATTCTTGGTTCCCGTCCTGTTCCTGTTACTAAATGCATTCGTCCAGACTATCTTAGTCTTGCTTGAGGCTAGATTGGAAGGGAGGCGTTGCGATGCAAGTTTAGTCATCTCATCCGGTGTATCTTTTTTTCCCACCTTGGACGGTAATGAGGCAAGTTGTTGCCTTCGCCTCGCCAAGCCTCAAGGTCCCAGGATCAGTGTCGTATACCTGGGCCTGGTAGTTAATTCTTCAACACCAGAACTTTGCCTGACAGGCAAACAGACAGCGCGGCACGGTAGCGCGGCTCGTTTGCTGACTGACGGCTCGACCGTATGCACTGACTGGGTCCAAAGTCAAGATCGTCGAAACACGAAAAGGGCGAAGCAGTCCAGTCCATTCCAGACTTTTCGCGCTTTGCCGAACGTCGTTTCTCTCCCTTTCTTTTTTGGGACAGTAGGCGGCCTCCAATCAGGACATGTCGAACCTTGGATTCGGAGACGGGACTTGGGTAGTGGTGATCCATCAGCGGCCATCTTTTGCGACCCTCGCTTTCTGTCGCCCAAGAGGCCTTGGTGGCGGCCACTTAGATCCCTCGCATACCCTCGCGGGAGAGAGGGTACGTCACGGTGCGGCGCAACCCTGCCTGATCGCATTGGCTACGCCGCTTTCCCAGCTAACAGGGCCTGCGTTTTCGGATGCTCACCTCGTGAGCGAGAGTCCAGTGCCTTGGTGTGGGAGAAGACAGAATTGGCCTATTGCCCCCTGTCAACGATTCTGAAGTGCAGGGGTTATGAGAGTGCAGTCATTCCTGATGTGGACTAATGCCAAAAGGGATGGGCAAGGGGGGGCTTTTCAAGAGTCAAGACCAAGACCTGCAACGACTGGACTGGACTGCCATGGTGTCGCCGCCGTTGTCGCGTAGCGAGCCTCGCCCGTTCATCCAGCCCAATGGGCTTGGTGCACGCACGAAGCGGGCGACGAGGGAACATGGAGCCTGGAGGACGTGTTAAAGAGAGGAAGAGAAATATCAGGGTCAGGGATCGGAGAGGTGGGCGGGAAAGGAAAACGCAAGTCAAAAAAAATCGTGGAAGAACAGGGGGGGATCCGCTGTGCCGCTGAACCACGCATCCACGGCTTTCGGCAAGGCCTGATGAGCAAGGGGGTACGGAACGTGGAAGAAAGGGGGCAGACGATATCCAAACTCTGGTTCGACGATGGAGTTCGTTCCGCGATTTTTCATATCATTCCTTTTTTTGCAGTGAAGTCACCGCTGGCCAAGACATGAACTTCTGGGACCGACAATCATCCTCAGTCCACTTGTATGTCAAGATGTCTTACTCTTGACTAAGGTGAAGAAGAACTAAAAAAGAATATCCCAGACCTCAGCATGCCAGGCGAAAGCGAGACATGCAACGGGCATCTCGAGCCGGTGGTGAGACTTTGGGAACGAGATGCCTTGACCTTTACTCGGGGGGCACACCTTGTTGCTAGTTCAGCACACCGTCCACACCGAGAGACACACCTCCACACCTCGGTGCGCTGAGTGATCCTGATAGGTACCTTACGTGAGGGAGGGAGCAATGCACGGAATGCAGTGTATCAGTCAGGCCCCATCCCTCCGTCCATTGTGCGCATTGTCGCTTGACAAGCTAAAAAGCCAAGACCCAATATGAACAAAGTCGCGTCGATCGACAAGATTCTCCCGAGTCAGTGATGGGTCATCCCCGTTGTGGGAAGTTTACGTTGACTTGAATAACGTAAAGTGAGAGAGTGTAGAAAGTTGAATTGTCATCGGATGCTCCCTCAACTCAATCTACTCCGTCTCGACCTCGGTATTACTCCTCTGGCCCCGGCCCTAGGCCACAAGGCGCACGTAGAGTGGATGTTTTGGCTTGTGGATTGTGGGAAGGCGAAATCTTAAGAGAAAGAAAGGTGACTGGGAGGGAGCACCGCTGTACAAGCCGCACACTCGTTTACTGCGGCTGCTGTCTTAACACGTCATAAGTCTCTTTCCGGTAGTGCCGCGGTGGCAGTGTACCTTGTCTCCCGGTGTTGGCCTGAGTGTGGGCACTGCATCCGTATCCATACCTACTCCGTACCTTACACGTGTGTGCGTGGACCACCTTACCTAAGCCTCAGGTCAAGATAGAGACAAAGTCGTGCATATGGGTTGTGGCGGTCTACCTTATTAGTTGCTTTAAACGATCAACGGTCTCCCCCACCAAAGACATGAAAAGAAGGAACGAGGTGAGCGGCTCACGACAGCCACTCGTTTTCACTATGCTGTGCGCACTTGCTTCTTTCTCTTCTCTCTCCGAAAAGTCTCTCATCCCAGTGCCGAGACCTAGTGCGCTGCGTACCCATGTTGACATGCAAAGGACAGGCCAAAGTCCCCTGACACTGCGACCTGCCCATCTGGATGTTCCCCGCTAAATCGGAGAGCAGGCGGGGGCAGGCGAGCAGATCCTCCTGTGCAAGTGCAGGGGCACAGGGGTCGGTGAAAAGACGACGTTGGTAACGGCAGGGGCATGTTTTCTCGCTTCTCTGAAGTTCTGTGCATTTTTCGGTTCGGTCCATCAGGGGTTCACGTACCCCCGGGCTGGGAGTCCTCCTGTCCACAGGCGACGGAGTACATGTCCACACAACATGACGAGTTGAGGCCTTTTTCTGCCCTCTCGTTAATCGTGCCCACTTCACAAGTGCACCTGACGGAAGCCCTAGGTACTTTGGCATGGGTTCATTCCTTCCTTCGTCGCACCTTATGTGCTAATATACCATCGTCTAGGAACAAATGGTAGGCTAATCAGTCGTCACACATGCTACGTTGTAGTGGACGCAGGATCTCGTGGAAGGGGTCACTGGGTGGCCGTGGTGAGGTGGTTTCCTGCAAAATGCCTAGGGAGGAGACGAGACTTGCTGGCAATGGGCATTGGTCAGTGGTGGTGCAGTGGTGACTGGCAGGAGCCCCCAACTCCAACACCCCTGCGCAGAAGCGAGGATGTGAAACGAAGCCAGTTTCACGACCACCCAAGTTCGCCTCTTCTCCTTTCGGACATTTGAACCTGCACCTACGAACCACTGATAACGAATCAATGGGATATTAACAGTCACCTGTTAATGGGATTACCATAACCGGTACGCAGTAATTGTGCCGCGTGCGGCATCATATGGTTCCTGCGTGTTTTTGAATCTTTTCCCAAGCTAAGCTTTTTTGACCGTTTGTTTCTTCAGACCAGTCAGTCATGACCCAGATGTCAGTCCCGTCACAATCACAGGCCATCGCGGACCGCGGAAAGCGGGAACATGGCATGGCATTGCCGCATCGCATGGCATCTGCGATTCAGTCTTAGCACACCGGGACCAGTCGTTTTTCCTTTGTCCAACTACATCGAGAGAACGTCGTCACAACGACCTTTCCCCCTCTTCCTATCCGCCGCGTTTGGAGTAAGCGCTCTAGGGAACGAACCAGCTTCGTTCGTTAGTTGAGCACCTGTCACGAGCTGTCAGCCTAAAGGTGCTTAACCCTCCGGTTGCTCTGACGTTGACCAGTCGTTTGACAACAACGGGACGACGACGTGCACCTACGACAACCAAGTATCGTGCGCCGAAGCTCTCAGGCCTACTGAACATTTCATGCGTCTTCTACTCCGTTCTTAGCAGCTAGCTGCTCTTTTTGCGACCTTGGACGCAGCCCGTCGCCCGGCTGTCACTCTGGCACGTTCACGGTTCATCAAACCCCCAGAGCCCAAAGCGACCACGGCCCATCAACCTGAACCCTGCAGATTCTACTCTCTCCTCTCCGAGTCTCTACTGCGTATAGATACGTATCATTGTCCCCCCCGGCCTTTGCCCGACCGCAGTGGGACATTTCACCGGCTGTTGTCCACTGTCACGTTGCTGATCGCCACCCCGTGGTCCACCGTCCAATTCCCGGATGGTGGTGGCCCGAAATCCACGGCCGAGTGGATATCGACAGGGACCGCTCGCAAGAAAGAAAAGAGGCTCATAACACTTGCTTATTCACGTGAGAGAGGAAGGAGGGTGACGCTGAGAGAAACAAGAGATGAGATATTCCGGTCGGTTCGTTGCGCGCGGCGCAGTACGTAATTCTTTACCCATGCGTCGACATATCCTCATCTATCAACTACACAGATGGCTCTGGTTCCTTTGAGTCTGGTACGCTATTGCCCCTGGTCGAGATTTCCATCGTCTGATGATTTCGACAAATCCCTCCTCCTTCATCTTGGCCCGTCCACGTCCGTGTTACTGCCTCCCCTGAACATCGCAGCTGGTTGGGCATTGGGTAGAATGAGCCCAGGCTCGACAAGCGCCGTCTGGAAAGACGACTCGAGTAAGGGAGGGAGGTGTGGGAGGGAGCCACGCACCCACGGGAGCTGAGAAGGCAGCCAGCGCTGGGAGGCCCGTCTTTCCTCAACTTCTCCTTCATGTTCGGACGATCTGGTTGAACCGAGTCTCGTACTTGCGACACTGATCGCCCGCCAGCGCACACAGCCCAGCGCCGTACCAGCTACGAAACGGCACCCGTTCCCGCTCACGCATGAATTCCCCGACATGACCTCTACCACCTGATGGCCCCTTTGCCAATACCCTACTCTTTGCCGTCGTGCGGTCCTCCTTTGGGCAGTCGAGCCGCCATCAGCTTAAGTCATGGGCAACGACACATATCAATCTCGGTGGGGAGGGGCATCCCTGGCGAACACCCAATTCGAGCGCGCCTCGGCATGAAAGATCGCCTCTGAGCCACAACCTCACGAGGAGATCCGAATATTTCCCAGGTAACGCCACCCGCCATCAGCCACCCCTGTTCGGTACCACCTTGCAAACAACGGCTTGTGGCGCGGTGTGGCTTCCCCTGCCTGCCGGAGCCACAAAGATCTCTCGTATACTATCCCCCCTTGTGGCTCGTAATTCGTGCTTCCCGAGAAAAGGGTCCAGCTTTGCGGTACGTGGGACCAGTTCGCTTCGCTTCCTGTGCCATAAGAGCACAGCTTTAGAGATACCGATATAGTACCGATATAGTGTTCTTCATCGGATGCCTCTGGACTACTATCCTTGCATAGCTGGAAATCCCGGCCCTCAAGAGTCAGCCGCTATTAGCATGCTTGAATTCAGAATTCAAGAGTGGGTCGGCATTGTTCACGAAGAGGCGGGCACTTTACAGGCTTTTACACGACGTATTGGCGCCTGTTCCTGAGCTAGTTCAAGCTGCTGTGGCTCGCTTTTCCGTGGCATGATTCTCAGCCGCTCAACAAAAACGCCGGGCTTGCATGGCCACTCAGCAAGCTTGCATAAGCGTGGACCACTCAGAAGCTGTGTTGCGGTCAGCGAGTATTAGTGCACTTATGATGGGCGTTGATAATATCATCAAGGCTGCCCCTCAGATTGAGGGCTTCCCCCGCTTTGAATGGTTGCATTGCCGCCCAAACTTGGCCATAGGACGACGACGACAGCCACGACAGCATCACATCACAGCACGGGGGAAGGCATGCGTACTCAAGCTCTGCAGCTCTGTGCGCCAAGGCTGGCGGCAGTCATTGACTCATTCACGGAGCATGGCTGGTTAGCAAGACGTCGTCTTCTCTATTTGCTGATATCGCGTCCTGGTTTCATCTATCCGTCACATCGTAATTGCCCGTCTGCCATGTGTGGGCGGCGGCGGCTCAACTCTCTCCAATGCCGTGAGCCGGCGCTGACATGTCCACCTCACACCGCCCTATCGGCCCAGTTGCAGACCTGCGTCGGCTGCCTGCCTGTCTTGAGAGCCCATCAAATAATGCCGTTTGCCGCCATGCGTAGAAGAAGAGCAAGAAAAAACAGAAGTATGCTGACCCAAGTCCTGGGGCTAAGCACCCGCTCTACTTGGCAACATCGTCCTTCTCCTCGTGACCGTTTGCATCTTCCTTCTCGACCTTCTCAAACTCTGCATAATCGTCGCAGCCTAGATGCGATTTTACCGATGTTAGTGGAAAGAGTAGTCCAACACGTCGGAACTGAGCCCTCCCCTAGGCCAGCCGAGCCAGCCCGCCCCCCATAGACAGATTGAAGCCGGGATGAGTCGCTTGTCTCACCTTCAAAGACGTAGCTCTCGCGCGTCCAGACGTGCATCTTGTCCTTGCGGAACTCCTCAAACGACCACTCCACGCGCTCCAGGTTCTCCGGGCGCTTGTAGATGTAAGCCATGGCCTGCTTGTCCTCTTCCTTCTGCTCCGTACCACCACCGGCACCAGCACTGGCACCGCCGCCGCTGCGGACCTTGACGGTGACCATCTTCTTCTCGTACTCGGAGCCCTCGAAAAAGTCGAGCTTGTGGACGTTGGCGTCCGTGAGGCCCGTCGCGTAGATGCCGAGGACGGAGCCGCCGGCTTCGGGGATCATGCCCGGGTAGTCGGCGAGCTGGACACGGTGGCGGGTGTGGTCGTGCAGGAGGGCGGGGGTGAATGTGTAGAGGTCCTTGATTGCCTGGGGCGGATTGCCGTTGCCTTGGACGACTGTGAAGAAGACCTTGGGCTCCATCTAGGGGCCAAGTGTTAGTGAATCGAGAGCTCCTTTGAAGTTTGAGGAGGGTGGTGATGATGAAGAACTGACCAGAGTGCCTGTCGATAATGTTAGCTCATGACAATCAAGAATAAAAAACCAAAGCTCCCGGACTTACCATAGAAGAAGGCTGTGTGTGGTCCACTCATTTTAAATGTGTTGTACTGGTGTCTGATAGGAGGTTGTGTGTTGTTGTGGCAATAACTTCGTGAGGTTTGAAGTTGGTTAGATGAGAGTTGTCGTGCCGAAATTGAACAGCTTTCGGGGCGAATCCAACGCGGGAGAGTCTATCTTCTATATACTACTCTGGGATCTTAAATTTGACTTGTGACTCACTCATGCCTCTCTATCCAAACTTTTGAATATCCGTCTGCCTGGTTGGAATGGATTGACAACTTTCAAGAAATGCCAACAGGTAAAACCGTTGTATGCGCCTCTCTTTGTGGGCTTTACACAAACTTGAAAGAATGATGCATCTGCGAAAGAAGCTTTTGGTAAGCGTGAAAGAAAACTGAGGTAGGCAAACAACGATGTAAAGTTGAACAAAGGTGACCGAAGAATGAAGTGGAATCCCGGCCCGCCTCCGGACCACGATTCACCGGCGGCCGGAGCTCTTATCGCTCCCCAGACAAGATAAGGCGCTCCAGGCAAACACCCCTGCCCCCAGAAGCGGCCCGGCGAGCGCTCCGGGTGGATCTTTGTATGGAGTCTGAGCCACGGATCAATATTCTTCAGATGCCTAGCGCCAAATGATTTGGCGGCTGGTTCCCCCAGCTTCGCGACTGCCTTTGGAAATTTGAGAGCTCACGTCAAGCCTGGGCCATCAAATCCATTTAATCAAGCCGCGCGACCTTGAGCGATTGGGAACGACTGGGGCACCCCGATTACCAAGGCACACGCGAAGACAACCCGTAATTGTAAAATTACCTTTTGGTCTTTCTATTCACATTTTACACCTGCAGCGGCCCTTTTTTCCCTTTTCCATCGATTAAAGAGATACCCCTCCAACTCCAACGCGTGCTCTCGTCCGCAACCTCGATCCATCAGCCTCGCTGCGACACGAAGTCATCCACGATTCCCTCCCCTCCCACGCATGGGAACGATTCACGCGTCCCCCGAGGGCCATTGACGCCGCCATGTCGGGCACCACAATTGACGATGTCGTCAAGCGACTTAGCAGTCCGGACACGGGTACGGAATGAACCCCTCGTGCAAATGCGATGCGATCAATCCCTCGAACCTGGAACCCCGCCGTGGTGGAGGCGCATCACCTTTCGTCAGGACCTTGCTGATATGTGTGTGGTACAGACTCGAGAGTCAGGTTAGAGGCGGCGACTACCTTACGCGACAGCTTAGATCACTACACCAATGGAACCATATACCCCCCTTTCCTGAAGCGAATGGTACCGATCTTCCTCACAATCCTGAGAGGACCATGCATCTTCCAGAGCAACTCCCCGGAGCAGGTGAGGCATTCCCGCATCGATTTAGATAAGTGCGCCTGCTGATAATAGATGTCAGAAACTGCGGACGTGTATCCTCGAGGTTCTCAACCGATTGCCAGCGACACCATCCCCGACCGAACCCTTCGAACCGTACGCGGAAGAGGTCGTCGATCTGCTGATGCAGCTGGTCCGTACGGATAACGAAGAGAATGCGACACTATGCGTCAAGATCATCTCGGATGTCATGCGTCACCAACACAAAGTCCTGCAGGGCAAGGTGCAGGCGTTCCTCAACCTAATCCAGGAGCTCTTCGAACAGATGGAAAAGGTCGTGCGGGAACAGCTGGACAACACGTCACTCTCGACGGCATCAAACTCTGGCGCACCATCAACGCCGGGCAGCTCCCAGACGAACTTCCAGTCGCCTAGGCCGGGCTCCCCTGTAGCGTCGGTCACAGATCTCGGCCCGGATCCTCAACAGCAGAATCGGCTACTGCTAAAGGGCATGCAGTCTTTCAAAGTCCTCTCGGAATGCCCTATCATTGTAGTTTCCGTCTTCCAGGTCTATCGAAATACCGTCGCATCCAACGTCAAAGCTTTCGTCCCTCTCATCAAGGGGTTCCTTTGCCTACAGGCGAGCGCGCAGAAGCAGGCCCATGCCGATGCCAAGGCCAGGGGACAGATCTTTACGGGAGTCAGCCCGTTGATTAAGAACCGGGCTGCTTTCGGCGAGTTCATCACAGCCCAGGTCAAGACGATGAGCTTTCTGGCTTACCTCTTGCGTCAATACTCTCAGCAATTGACGGATTTCTTACCGACACTTCCTGAGATTGTGGTTCGACTCTTGCAGGACTGTCCCAGGGAAAAGTCGAGTGCGCGCAAGGAGCTGCTTGTTGCTATTAGGCATATCATCAACTTCAACTTCCGCAAGATCTTCTTGCCAAAGATTGACGAGCTCCTGGACGAGAAGACGCTGATCGGCGATGGCCTTACGGTATACGAGACTATGAGACCGTTGGCGTATAGTATGCTCGCCGATCTCATCCATCACGTCAGGGATAGTCTCACACCTGAGCAAATTCGCAAGACGGTCGAGGTTTACACCAAGAATCTCCAGGACAACTTCCCAGGCACGAGTTTCCAGACCATGAGTGCAAAACTCCTCCTCAATATGGCAGAATGCATCGCCAAGATGCCTAACAAGGTCGACGCGCGGCACTATCTGATCATGATCCTGAACGCTATTGGCGACAAGTTCGTGGCAATGAATAGACAATATCCCAACGCAGTGAAGCTCTCGAAACTCTACGCCCAGCAAGCCGCTGACGGAACCCAGGATAGCTACCTTGCGGACAAGGACCACCCGCCTGACTGGGATGAGACCGACATCTTCACTGCTATGCCGATCAAGACGTCAAATCCAAGAGACAGAGGCGCAGATCCCGTTGTTGACAACAAATTCCTGTTTAAGAACCTGATGAATGGGCTGAAGAACACTTTCTATCAGCTCAGAACCTGCAATGTCAACAACGTGATCGACGTACAGAATGCCCCTCAACACTGGCAGGATGTTGCCTATGGTTTCACAGCAGAGGAGGTCAACGTCATCGTGAAGCTGTTCAGAGAGGGCGCCTACGTTTTCCGCTACTACGAAATTGAGAAGCCGGCAACTGAGTCCCAGTACATGTCGCCCGTAGAGTACATGGCCAACTTCTACATGGTATCTAGCAGTAAGGAGGAGAAGGAACTCCTGGAGACCTTTGCGACTGTCTTCCACTGCATTGACCCAGCGACGTTCCATGAAGTTTTCCAGCAAGAGATCCCCCATCTCTACGACATGATCTTTGAGCACACGGGACTGCTCCACATCCCTCAATTCTTCCTCGCGAGCGAAGCCACCTCGCCAAGCTTTTGCGGCATGTTGCTGCGCTTCTTGATGGAGAGAATCGACCAAGTTGGCTCAGCGGACGTCAAGAAGTCGTCAATTCTGTTGAGACTGTTCAAGCTGGCATTTATGGCAGTCACGCTCTTCGCCAACCAAAACGAACAGGTCCTGCTTCCTCACGTCGTGGACATTGTTACCAAGTCCATTGAATTGTCGACAAAGGCTGAGGAGCCCATGAACTACTTCCTACTTCTGAGATCGTTGTTCCGAAGCATTGGTGGCGGCAAGTTTGAGCATCTCTATAAGCAGATTCTGCCATTACTTGAAATGTTGCTGGATGTGCTCAACAACCTGCTCATGGCAGCAAGAAAACCTGCCGAGCGTGACCTTTACGTGGAGCTGTGCTTGACGGTGCCGGCACGTCTGAGTAACTTATTGCCTCATCTCAGCTTCCTGATGCGACCCTTAGTCGTCGCGTTGCGCGCCAATACCGACCTGGTTGGCCAAGGATTGCGGACGCTGGAGCTCTGTGTCGATAACCTCACTGCGGACTACCTGGATCCCATCATGGCCCCGGTTATTGATGAGTTGATGACGGCACTGTTCGACCATCTCAAACCACATCCCTACAGCCACTTTCACGCTCACACCACGATGCGCATTCTAGGAAAGCTTGGAGGTCGGAACCGAAAGTTCATGACTGACGCGCAACCCCTGAACTACAAGGACTACGCCGATGACCCGACAAGCTTTGATCTTCGCCTAATCGGCTCCAAGAAGGATAGGGCTTTCCCTGCGGAGACTGGCGTTGATTTCGCCATCAGGAAATTGATGGAGCAGCCAAAGGCGGGCAAGGGCAACCAGGCGCGGCAGTATGATGGTTACTACAAGAAGCAGTCATTCCACTTCATCAAGTCTCAGCTGAAGATGCGGATCGGCTTCGAGAACTTGCCCGACGACATGCCTAGACTTCTGCGCCTCCAAGCTCAAGATCTAGCCGCCAGAAGAATCGACTTTGACTTCTCTGTTTTCACAACACATGACAGAGAACGATCTATTCCTAAAAAGGACGAGCAAGACGACCTTCTCAAGCGTTTGCTGAAGGCTGTCATGTTTGCCGAGTCTTTGCCTGATTTCAAGGAAGAAGCGCAGGCATTCCTCATGAATCTCTGCAAACACTTCACAATCATTGAGGTCGGCCGAGCTTTGGTCGACGTTAAGCGAACGTACAGTCCTTTCGATCCCAACGCTGGAGAAGGCCCACTCTTTATCGATACCCGGGTGCTCTCTGATGCTATTGTGGAATCGTTGGCGTCGGATCACCCAGAAGTGCGAGAGTCTGCGCAGCGCGCGATCCGGGAGGTGTACGACTCTGCCACCACAATCTTGGGTAACGAGCAGAGTGTTGCTAGGCTGCCTCTCTTTAATAACTTGAGCACCACATTCTGCCATGGCTGCTACGAAGAAGAGTGGTTTACCAAAACTGGTGGCTCGCTCGGCATTAATTTCCTTCTCAATGAGCTTGACCTAGGTGACCAATGGGTTGCGAGCAAGCAAATCGAATTCATTCGCTCTCTAATGTACGTCATCAAGGACATGCCCCAAGATCTTCCTGAGAAGACTAGAAGATCTGCTCAGGTCACCTTGGAGACGTTGCTGCACAAAATCACGAAGAATATCAAGAAGGAGGATGCCATGCCGCAGCAAAACCCTGGTCAGCCGCCGCAACAGAGGTCCCGCCTCGCCCAAATTTGCATGCAGTTCAATACGGAGTTGGCGCATATGAATCGCCATGTTCGCGAGACTGCGAAGCGATCCCTCGAACTTATCGCTAAGGCTGCTGGCTGTGCCGTGTGGGAGCTGATTGAACCCTACAAGGAGCGATTCCTTCAGCCAATCTACTCGAAGCCCCTTCGTGCCCTGCCGTTCCCCATCCAGATCGGCTACATTGATGCGATGACTTACCACATGACTTTGCGGAAGGAATGGGTTACCTTCGACGACAACTTGACCAGATTACTCATGGAGTCTTTGGCTTTGGCTGATGCGAGCGATGAGTCTCTGGCGAATAAGCCAGGAGAATTCAGGACGCACGAATACATTGTCAATCTCAGGGTTGCCTGTATCAATATCCTCAGCACCGCCACCAGTTTCGAAGAGTTCGCGCCGCTCAAGCAAGGCAGCCACCCTACACGTTCCAAGATCGTCTCGGTTTTCTTCAAGTGTCTTTACTCAGACTCAAAGGCCACAATCGACGCGGCCAATAGTGCCCTGAAGAATACCCTGGAGGCCCATCAGAAGCTTCCGAAGGATTTGCTCCAAGGTGGTTTGAGACCGGTTCTTGCCAGTCTCCAAGACCCCAAGAAGCTCTCAACTCATGGTTTGGACAACCTTGGCCGACTCTTGAAGCTGCTTACTACGTACTTCAAGGTCGAGATTGGAGCTCGCCTGCTCGATCACGTCAAGGTGCTTGCAGAGCCCAGCACTCTGCAACAGCTCTCCTTCACCTTCTTTGAGCAGAATGGCCCCATGAAGGTCATCGCTGCCGTCTTCAACATCTTCCACCTCTTGCCGCCGCAGGCAGAGGGCTTCAAGCAACGTCTCATTGACCTGGCATTGGAGCTAGAGGAGAAGCTGCGCCGAACCCACGAAAGTCCCTTCCGAGCACCGTTGTACAAGTTCATCAACCGATACCCCAACGAGGTTTGGAACTTCATTCTGCCTAAGCTTGAAGATCTCAAGTACGGACGCTTCATCTCACAAGTGATCCGTAACCCTGAGAGCGGCCCCCTCAGAGAAACGGTGTCTTCCAACGTTCAAGCCCTAATTGACTTCTGCAACAACGCGCTTTCGCAAAATAAGGACAGCAAGCTCGTCACCGTCGTCAATGCTGTTCACATTCTCTATTCTCTCACCCTGTCACCTGGAACAGACACTTGGCTAGAGAAGAAGGAGCACTTGACCTGGTTGAAGCAAGTTGGCAAAGAGCTGGAGAAGCAGATGCGGGCCCATACTCTCGCACCCAACTTGAGACTTCCGGCGTGCCAGGCGTCAGACCAGCTGATGTCAATCTTCATCAAGTCGTTGGAACGCAACCCCAAAGACCTCGAGTCACTCTTCAGCCTGGTAGATTCAGTCACGACTGATGACCTTCGTGCCTCGCAGCCTCTGATCGCCTACATTTACAAGAACATCGTTAGTAGCGATTCGCCAGAGTTCTGGAAAACGACGGTTCTCAGATGCCTTGACGCCTACCCTCAGAAGAACATCACTCAGAAAATGAAGTGTTTCTTGCTGCACTACATCGTCAACCCGATCGTCGCCATGGACGTGCAGCGCAACTGGAGCCTGCCGCCGCAGACAAAGGGTCGATTTATGGACAAGACCATCATCGATGCTGTTAATGCGAAGATATGGAAGTTGCACCAAGATGCCAGCCAACATGACAACGACGATCTCCTGCAGCCAGGCATCGACCACACCAAGTTTGAGGTTCTCCAGCTGTCAGCGATGTTGGTCAAGTACCACTCCACCATTTTCCAGGAGGCTAGGAAGGACATCATTAAGAGTTGCTGGACCTTGATCCGACTGGACGATGTCATCAACAAGCACGCCGCCTACGTTGTCATCGCCTACTTCATCGCGCTATATGAGACGCCGGTGAAGATTGTCACGCAGGTGTACCTCTCACTCCTGAGAGCAAACCAGAATGAGGGACGAGCCTTGGTAACACAGGCTCTAGAGCTAATTGCTCCCGTTCTGCCCAAGCGACTGGGAACACAGGCTCATGATCGTAATGCGGGCTGGGCGCTGGCTCCTAGAAAGATCCTTGCCGATGAAGGTCAGAATGTGCAGCAAATGACTAGCATCTTCCACTTCTTGGTCAGGCATCCTGACTTGTTTTATGAGTCGAGAGATAAGTACGCTATGCTCATAATCTCGTCTCTGAGGAAAGTTGCTGCACCACCTAACCCTTCGAACGAGTCGAAGAAGCTCGCTCTCAACATGATGTGGCTCATCTGGCTCTGGGAGCAACGTCGTGTTGAGGGCAAGGGAGACGCAGTGTCGCGTTCCATATCCGAGTCACCGACGTCTAAGAAGCGCAAGTTGGACAATGGGGACCAGCCTATGTCGTCACCTCCTACTGTCAGACAAAGTCTGGGCGGTAACGACTATCAAATTGCGGCTATGGCGCGCCAGAAAATGATCAAGTATCTGGTCGAATTCATTGCTCAGCTGAACGAGCGGTACCAATTGCCGTCCACCAAGGCAAGAGACAATGCTTCTACAAACGGCCCCGCCATGCCGCCTACGTCTACCGAGTTGTGCAAGAAGGCTATGAGCCTGTTTTACAATCTAGTTCAGCCCCAGTACTGGGGCGATCTGGATATCGACCTCTACCCCAATGTCACCGATGTTGTGTTGGCCAGCGATAAGACGCAGAATTTCCTCGCAGCTGATCCTTCTGACGAGAAGTTTGATGAGAAGTTCATCACAAACATCATCAACACTCTTCAGGTTGTTCGCATCATCTTGAACTCCAAGCCAGATGAATGGATTGCCAAGAACATGCCATCGGTCCAGAAAGTTCTCGACAAGGTTCTTAAGAGCGAGAATCCTGAGTTGCAGGATTGCTTGCACCTCGCGGACAAGAAGTACGATGATGACCGCGACCTCAAGTCAATCATCCAGAGGGTGCTCGATGCTGTTCCTGAGGACGTGCCAATGGAGGACGCCGACGCTGAGGGTGAGACGGAGTCACAAAACTCTGAGATTATCAACTCTTTGTCATCAATCGCGGGCGAGGCTATGGCGGCAGGTCACTATGGATCTGGAGTCAACATTCTGTGGTCCTTGGGTAACCGCAAGCCCTCCGTCATTGACCAACACATCCCAGTTCTCATGAAGGCTCTGCAGAGCAAGTTGGCACGTGAACATGTTCAGCATTACACAGCCGTCGCCAATCATCAGGCTGGGCAGCCTCGGACCCAGGATGCAAACACTCCAACGGGAGAAATGTCTACGTACGATCTTGAGGTTTCGACTGCCCTCATGACCAAGGCTATCCAGGTCGTTGCACTGCGAATGGAAGTTCTGGGTGACAACCGACGACCTTTCCTCAGTGTTCTCGCGACGCTGGTAGAGAAATCTATGCACATCCCTCTGTGTGAGGAGATCCTCAACATGGTGGAAGGCTGGGTGTTCCGTTCTGAAGGCACCTGGCCTACGCTCAAGGAAAAGACTGCAGTCCTCCACAAGATGTTGTCCTTTGAGCATCGTCAGGACTCGACCATGTTGACGAAGTTCCTTGAGTTGGTCATTCGCATCTACGAGGATCCCAAGATTACCCGTACCGAGTTGACTGTTCGCATGGAGCATGCTTTCCTAATCGGCACACGCGCTCAAGATGTAGACATGCGCAACCGATTTATGGCTATATTCGACAAGAGTCTTTCAAAGACTGCCAGCGCACGTCTTGCCTATGTTCTGACCTCTCAGAACTGGGATACTTTGGCCGACAGCTATTGGTTGGCACAAGCATCGCATCTTCTCCTTGGTGCGGTTGAGCTGAACAGCCCTATTCAGCTGCATCAGGAAGACTTCAAGACAATGCCGCTCACCCAGCTCTTCTCAATTCATGCCAAGGACAACAGAGAGCCCACCAGTATGGCGGATGACAAGCTTGACAACTTAGTAACTGCTCACCGACGTTTTATGAGCGAGCTTGGCGAGGTCAAGGTTCGAGACCTTATCGAGCCTCTTGTTCAGCTTCAGCACGTCGACAACACCCTCGCTCATCAGCTTTGGATCGCCTTGTTCCCTATCTACTGGTCTGCGACGATGAAGGAAGAACGCACTGATCTTGAGCGTGGCATGGTAGCTCTCCTCACTAAGGACTATCACAGTCGCCAGATCGACAAGCGGCCGAACGTGGTACAATCCCTTCTGGAGGGTGCGGCCAAGGCTTGGCCTGATTGCAAGATTCCGCCGCATGTTCTCAAGTACGAGGCCAAGACGTACGATGCGTGGTATACCGCGCTCGTTCAGCTTGAGAATGCGGCCATCAAGCCAGAGATCGAATCGGCAACTGTTCGTGAAAGCAACCTTGATGCACTTGTCGAGCTGTATGCTTCTCTACAAGAAGACGATCTTTTCTACGGCACGTGGCGTAGGCGGTGCCAGTTTGTGGAGACAAATGCCGCGTTGTCCTATGAGCAAAACGGAATGTGGGACAAGGCTCAGAAGATGTACGAGGCCGCTCAGATCAAGGCTCGAACGGGTGTCATCCCCTTCTCTCAAGGAGAATATGTTCTGTGGGAAGATCACTGGGTCTTGTGTGCGCAGAAGTTGCAGCAATGGGAGATTCTCCAAGATTTCGCCAAGCACGAGAACTTCCAGGACTTGCTTCTAGAGTGCGCTTGGAGGAACAATACTGAGATGTGGCAGACACAGGAGCATCGTGAGGCGCTCGACAACCTTATCAAGGGCGTTATGGACGCTCCGACGCCTCGACGTGCCTTCTTCCAGGCCTTCATGTCCCTTCTCAAGTTCTACAACAAGCAAGAGACGCCCCAGGACTTTGCCAAGTCGTGCGACGAAGCCATTCAACTTTCTATCCGGAAGTGGCATCAGCTGCCGAAGCAGCTCACCAAGGCACACATTCCTTTGCTTCAGAACTTCCAGCAGTTGGTCGAACTGCACGACGCCAGCGTGATCTGCAATAGCTTGGCTAGCACCAATCAGTCCAACTTGGATGTTAAGAGTGGAGAACTCAAGCTCCTGCTTGGTGCATGGCGCGATCGTCTGCCCAACGTCTGGGACGACATCACTGCCTGGCAAGACCTAGTAACCTGGCGCCAGCATATCTTTGGCCTCATCAACCAGACGTACCTCCAGCTGCTCCCTCAAGGAGGCGGGCAAAACGCCAGTGGTGCCTCGTTTGCCTACCGTGGATATCATGAGACTGCCTGGATTATCAACCGCTTCGCACACGTCGCTCGCAAGCACAGCCTGCCGGAGGTTTGCATCACACAGCTGAGCAGGATCTACACACTTCCGAATATCGAGATCCAAGAAGCCTTCCTCAAGCTACGAGAGCAGGCTAAGTGCCATTATGAGAATCCCGATGAGCTTACAAGCGGATTGGACGTTATTAACAACACGAATCTGAACTACTTCAACCCGCCCCAGAAAGCCGAATTCTACACACTGAAGGGCATGTTCCTCGAGAAACTCAAGCAGAAGGAAGAGGCCGATTCGGCATACGGCACAGCCCTGTACTTCGATATTACCGCTGCCAAGGCTTGGGCCGAATGGGGTTATTTTAACGAGCGCAAGTACAAGGAGGACCCGACTGATATCAACTCGGCCCGTCAGGCACTTACGTCGTACCTGCAAGCCGCCGGAAGTTACAAGAATGCCAAATCACGCAAGCTCATTGCTCGCATCTTGTGGCTGCTCAGTCTGGACGATGCCAACGGCTCTATAGCAGCTGGCTTCGACGACTTCAAGGGCGAGACTCCTGTCTGGTACTGGATCACCTACATTCCTCAGTTGCTCACTGGTCTTGGCCACAAGGAAGCACCTAGGGTCCACCAGATCCTAAGCAAGATTGCCAGGTCGTACCCTCAAGCGCTGTACTTCCAACTGCGAACCAACAGAGAAGACATGCTTGTCATCAAGAAGAACCAGGAAGCCAAGGAGAAGGCCCGCCAGCGTGCCCAATCGACGGTGTCCAATGGTAAGCCCAGCGCCTCGCCTCAACAACCCAAGCAAGACGGCGTTCCCAAGCCGGATGCTTCTGGTTCGAGGCCTGGTACTGCTAGCGGCGGCGACGCGAATGCCTCCGTTAAGACCGAAGGCAACGACGCCAACGGCACTCCGGCTGCTCAGGCCAATGGCGCAGCTGCTGGCGGAGACCAGTCAACCGCCGGTCAGAAGAAGCCGCCATGGGAACTCACCGAGGAGATTATGAGCGCTCTGAAGACCGCCTTCCCCCTCCTCGCCCTGTCTATGGAGACCATGGTGGACCAGATTCAGAAGCACTTCAAGTGTCCGCCCGATGAGGATGCGTACCGTCTCATCGTTGCTCTGCTTAATGACGCGCTAGCGTACGTCAGCCGCATGCCTTCATCGTTCGCCAAGGACGTCAAGCTTCCCTCTGCCACGGAGACCAACATTACACGCTTCGCCGAGACGATTCTTCCAGCTCACATCAAGAAATCGTTCGAGGCCGATTTTGTTACTGTCAAACCGACCATGTACGAGTACATTCATAAGCTCCGCCGTTGGCGCAACAAGTTTGAGGAGAAGCTTGATCGCAGAACGACCCGCGTCTCGCTGGAGGCATTCTCGCCGCACCTCTCCGAATTCCGTTACCAGAGGTTCGATGATGTCGAGATCCCTGGCCAATACCTGCAGCACAAGGATAAGAACCAAGACTTTATCCGCATTGAGCGCTTCTTGCCCAATGTCGATCTGGTGCGGTCGATCAGTGCCTCATACCGTCGTCTCCAGATGCGCGGTCACGATGGAAGCATTCACTCGTGGGCTGTTCAGCACCCAGCGGCGAGACACTGCCGTCGCGAGGAGCGTATCCTGCAGCTCTTCAGACAGCTCAACCAGACGTTGGGTAGAAGAAAGGAGAGTCGCCGCCGAGACCTTCAGTTCACTCTGCCATTGATGGTTCCTCTTGCACCTCACATCCGCATTGTGCAGGAAGACACCTCATACATCACCCTCCAGAGCGTATATGAGGACCACTGCAGACGCCACGGCATGTCCAAGGACGATCCTGTGTTATTTACCATGGAGAAGCTACGCGGCGTACTTGACACGAAGAATTCGGTAAGTAGTCCCATCAGAGAGCGAATGACAAAACCTAACAATTTTTCACAGAAGCATGCTGAGCAAAGCGCAACCGCCCGTCTGGAGGTGTTCCATGCCATCCAGGAGAAGTGGGTGCCACAAAACTTGGCCCTGGACTACTTCCAGAAGGCCTTCCCCGACTTTACCGAGTTCTGGCTGTTCCGCAGACAGTTCTCATACCAGCTTGCGTCACTCACTTTTATGACGTACATTCTGTACATGCACAACCGTTACCCGCAGAAGATCAACATTGCTCGTGGATCTGGAAATATCTGGGGCTCGGAGCTCATGGCGTACATGAGCGCTGCGAAGCCCTTCTTCCACAACCCGGAGCCGGTGCCATTCCGTCTGACTCCCAACCTCCAGACGCTCATGGGCCCACTGGCGACAGAGGGCATCTTCAGCTGTGCTCTTATGGCCATCGCACGATGCCTCACAGAGCCCGAGTACGAGCTGGAGCACGCCCTTACGCTCTTCGTGCGCGATGAAATGATTTTCTGGTTCACGAGCTCCCACCGGACGGTGCAAATGACGGAGAACCAGCTCCGCGAATCGGTGCAAGTGAACAGCGACTCAGTGGTCAAGCGGGCCGTGAGCCTGGCACAGAGCCCCGTCGGCAACTTGCCTGCCAACCAGACGGTCATTGACCTCGTCGCCAAGGCAGTCAACCCCATGAACTTGGCGCAATGTGATGCGCTGTGGATGCCGTACTTGTAAGAAGACTTGTAAAGAGGATGGAGAGGAAGCAGGAGACTTGTGGATTACGCGGACGCGTATGTCTCAGGAGGTTAGCCCGTTGTATGATTTTAGCAAGGCGTTCTTGGGATGCGAAAGAGGATCGAGGGATCTGGAGGTCATGAAGCCCATGCATGATTGTTTGGAGGGAGAGCAGGAAAAAAATGGATGGTTAGAGATGACGATTCCTTGTTGTATTTGTACGGCCGTCTAGCATCGAAGCTCTCCTACACATTAGCTGGTTAGAGCTCTCGATGTTGAAGCAAGATACAGCTTCATGATAATCAGATTGTCTTTGTTCAGGTTTATGATTTTGATGGGAGTTCAATTTGCATCTTTTTAGACTTTGTAGTGACATGCACGCGACGTTGAGGGAAACATGAACTTTCAGACGTAGAGTTTCGGGAGATCGGGAGAAATGGCAGTTTGCCGCGCGTGGAAGGCCGGGGTCGACCCGGCTCGCTAGCCCAGACCCTTGTCCCAAGCCTCCCAGACGCCAAACGCCAACTTACCAAAGCATCGGTGATAGTCCGAACTCGCTTGGCCGCCACATTCCTTCTCCTCGTTTTGTGTGGTTCACCGTCTAGAAAGTCCGCACCCGCCAATACGGACTACTGGACCTTATGGATACGTACCCCCCTACCCACTCACTCACCGCGGAGAGCCACCGGGCAAGTCGGGGCGCTCTCTTGGCTTGGCCTTATCAACAAGTAGTTCTTGAGCTTCCTTATCGGGGCACTCACTCACACACACACAAAACTCCACGTTGGAAAGATGGATGACGATTTGTAATCCCGGGGTTGAGGAGCCGTCCGAGGGGGTAGTGGTGGACTGGGGTACGGCGGACACGGAACTGTCATTCATTCGGTTGCTTGCTCTCTCTCGGTATCTTTTGCCTACCTACTTCCCAACACTTCTTATCTTTCAAAGTCCGTTCGCATCTTCCCTCCTTGGCTTTTGATTCATAGTCTTGTTGGTGGCTCTTGAGACTTTGGTATACCGCCCTTCACATTACAGAACTCAACTATCAACATTGAGTTGTCCAGCGCAATTCGTCCACGGTATCGTATAGGCCTTATCTCCGCCGAGGCACGCGACAGCTAGCAGCATCACCATCATACCCGTCACCATCGATTGTATCGCCATACCAACGTCAATCACCATGTCGGCAGCCACCATGGACAGCTCATCCAAGAAGGCGCCCTTGAGCCTGGAGCACCACTTCTCCGAGGTCACGAAGAGGCGTGAGCCCAGCAAGATGAAGGAGTATTACAAGTACTTTGAGATTCCTGGCATTGGGAACCTAGCTGGAGGTTAGTAAGAGAAACCCGAAAACCACAATTTCACCCCTGGAATTTTCTCTTTTCTTTACTTGAGTCTCACAACAGCACTTTTTTCCTTTTCATTACCACTCTCTGATGTTGCTTCACCTTGAAGGTTGCACGGCATCAATGAGATAGATTTGGGCTGTCGCGATCTGTCCTACCCGTCTTGCAGTGAGACGGGAAGGATGCCGCAATATATGCCGTAATGTGCACCTTGCGTTGCGTGCTCATCACGTATACATGCGGGATCGCGCGTCAACGCTCCAATGATATTCGCAATCCCGATCTCGGCCAAACCTTGGTACCCCGGACAAAGCATGAATCGCTGACACTTTTTCGGAACCCCGATTATAGGCCTGCCGCATTCGAGCCTGTTCCCGTTCGACACCCTCGAGGCACAGGCCGCGAAGCCCGAACGATGGGAACCGTCTCCGATCCCCGATGATGGCACCACCGGCAACACCACCACCCTCCCGATTCGGGGCACCGCCGCCGCCGCCGTCGCGGGCCAGGACAAGGAAAAAGATGTCAAGGCCTCCCGGCACGTCACCGTCCCCGGCACCGACGACGACCGCGACCCGCTCCGCCGCATCGACGTCGCCACGGCGCTGCAGTACGGCACGGCAGAGGGATACCCGCCCCTCCGGTCCTTCATCCGCCAGTTCACGCGGGACCACCTGCACCCGGACGTGCCGTACCTCGGCGGACCCGAGGTGATTCTCAGCTGCGGCGCGACCGACGGCTTCTCCAAGACGCTGGAGCTCATCACGAACCCGTGGAGCCCCGCGAAGGACGCTGCCGCGGAGCGGCCTGGTATGCTGTGCGAGGTCTTTGTGTACAGCCAGGTCCTGTCGCAGGCGCTGCCGCGGGGCATCCAGGTCGTGCCGGTCGAGATGGACGACGGCGGCATGATTGCCAACGGACCTGGCGGGTTGGAGGAGGTTTTGGCTGGGTGGGATGAGAAGAATGGCAAGAGGCCGCATTTCATCTACACCGTGACGTGAGTTTGTTCATTTCTCTCTCGCTTTGTCCCTTTTTGGAGGAGGATCGTTGCTCTGAGAGGTGAGACAGCACACATGGCTAACACGTGGCATGGGATGCTTCTAGAATGGGTCACAACCCGACCAGCGGTATCTTGTCTGTGGAACGCCGTAAGGAGATTTATGCCATCGCCAGCAAGTACGACATCATCATTGTCGAAGACGACCCGTACTGGTACCTGCAGTACCCCTCCGCGGTCGTCGAGGAAGCCAAGTCGCGCGGCCTGGAGGTTTGTCCCTCTCCTCCGACTTACAAGCCCACCAAGTCTTCCGGCTACCAGTTCCTGGATTCCTTGACCCCTTCGTTCCTCAGCATCGACACGGACGGCAGGGTCATTCGCCTCGACACTTTCTCCAAGACCATCGCGCCGGGATGCCGCATGGGCTGGATCACGGCGCAGCCGGCCATCATTGAGCGCTTGCTGAGGTATGCACCATCTATCTATCCAACCTCAACGTGTCACTCAAACACCATCGAAACTAACATGACCGTGTCTCTCCAGAATCACCGAAGTCACCACCCAGCAACCCTCAGGCTTCGTGCAATCCACCGTAGCAGAGCTCATCATGGGCGACCAACCCCCCGCCGCCCGCTCCGCCTTCGCCGCCCTCACCTCGCGCCAGAAGCAGATCTTTGAGGGCTGGAAGATGGACGGCTGGGTCCGCTGGCTCGCCGGCCTCCGCGGCGTCTACGAGCGTCGCATGAACCGCATGTGCACCATCCTCGACGAAGGGTCTATCCAGCTCAAGCAGTCGACCCCGCGCAGCGCCGACGACGCCGACTGGGGCGTCGTGAGCAAGACGCAGCTCTACGAGTTCGCGTGGCCGCGCGGCGGCATGTTCATCTGGCTCAAGCTGCGGCTCGAGACGCACCCGCTGTGGATGGCGACGGGCGGTGAGCGGATCCCGCTGCTCGACGGGGAGAGGCTTTCGACGGCGCTCATGTTCTTTGCGACCAAGAAGCCGTACCGCGTGCTCGTGAGCCCCGGGCTCATCTTTAGTGCTACGCCGGCGATCCGGGCGGAGAGGGGATGGGCTTACTTCCGGCTGTGTTTCGCGGCTGAGACGGAGGAGAATGTGGACTTGTGCGCGCAGAGGCTGGCGGATGCGATTCAGAGGTTCTGGAGGATCAAGAAGGTGGAGGAGGTGGAGGATTTACTTGGGGACTTTTTCATGTTTCAGGGTGAGGATGAGGAGGGGCTTGAGGGGTTTGGCAACTTGGGTAGTTTGATGGGATGTTGAGGACCCCTTGTAAACATCTTGCAAGTACGAACGTGTAACGAATCTGATGAACCAAACCATCCTTGTGGCATGCAAGAGGACGTGTGTTATAGCTCACATATGATATGCACCATAGAGTTTAGAGAACTTTTTGTAGCTACCTTACAGTCACTACGTAATAGAGAGAAAATACAAAAACAAGAAAAGGTCATAATCACGTGGAATAGAGTCGTCACGGTCCAGGGGCAGACCAAAGTACACCAAGACTTTTGTTGTGTGAATTCAAGGGAATCATTTGTCCATTGATGAATTGAGGTCAACATTTCCTAGTTGCCATTACGCCTCAAGCACAAACCATGCTAAAATGTAGCCCCGTCCGTTTCAGAAACCTGCATTCCACCACCGTCGTCAGAACACCCGTCCCAGGTAAGAAATTGTTTATTTCTTCTGGGCAGCCTCCTTGGCGAATACCGAGGCGTAGGGGTTCAGGCGAAGCATGACCTGCTTGTTCTTGAGGGGGTTCTTCTTCTGGACCGCGGAGCGGCGGGTGACGGCGTAACCCTTGGGCTCGTTGAGGGCGGACTGGGTTTCCGAGCTGTTGATCAGACGGGTCAGGTCGCTCTGGGAGACGATGTTGGAGGGAAGGAGGAAGTCCTTCTTGAGGGCGGAGGGCTGGGTGGTGGTGCCGTAGATGGTGTCCAGGGACTTGAAGGCGGCGGAGGTCCAGACGACGAAGCGGCCGAGGTGGCCACCGGGGGCGAGCTGGAGGAGGTTGAGGGCGGTGACGGGGGAGGTCTCGACACCGGGGACGTTGCGGAACGCGGTGACGAGCTCCTTGCCGTCGACCTCGGGGTCGTAGATGACCAAGGGGCCGCGGCGCTGGCGGTGGCGGCGGCCACGAAGCTTACCCTTACCGGCGCGGAGCTTCTTGGACTTCTTGACCTTCTCGACGTCGTCGGAGGCACCGACGGTCTTCAGGAGAGAGACGGCGGCGGAGGTGCGGGCGACAGCGGCGTTCTCAAAGAGAGCAGAGTCGACGACCAGGGGGACCTCAGGGACGTTGGAGACCTGGTGACCGCGGGCCTGGAGGAGGGGGGCAACGCCGGAGGCGGCGATGGCGGAAACGGTAGCGTAACGTCTGTAGTTTATGCCTGTTAGAAACGCCGCGCTTTTCGCTCGATCTTCACGATCCCCGCAGTGGGGGTGGTGAAGAATCTGGAGATGAAGAAAAAATCTCACCTCTGGCCCTGGGAGACCTTGACGTGCCACTTGCGCCAGGTCTTGGTAGGGGCGAACATGCGACCGGAACGGCACATGTTACCGAAGGCGGCCTGACCGGCACGGTGAGTACCACCACCGGAGACACGGGGGATACGGGCAACAGCGCGACCTGTGG